GGAACAACAGAATCGCACACTTTCATAGGGAATGTTTGAAGAAAATGCCTCTTCTCGGTGAGATAGATTTGTCCTACAACAATCTTTCCTGTATTGACATCTTCTATGACATCTCCTTTAAGAAAGGTGGGCATCTAAAAAAGCTGGACATTTCTTATAACAAACTGGCGACTTTTTCTTCGTGTGAATTAGGGATAGATATGACTAATACATCGGTTGTGCCATACGATGTGTTATTTTTGGGAAACCCTATTCACTGTGATTGTAGAATGGCCTGGCTGATCGAGTTGATGAAAGTCACCAAAAGATGTCTAGAAGGAGAGATTTGTTGTGTTTGCCTGTTTGAGGGAAATTCACTAGCCTTTCGGTTGTTCCAGCAGAGAGCTGTGTTCCGCTGTGCATCTCCCTCTAACCTAACTGGAATAGAACTGTACAGGCTGAGTACTAGGGTCTGTTTTTCCAATGAAACATGGAGCCTACACAAGCCCTGTTCTCTGGACTATTCCTGCCCCATACCAGACCAAAACTCTCCCCCATCCACAATTACTCCTGCGTTTTTGCCGCTACAAACGACCGGTAGTTTTCAAACGACCAGTATTTTCCAAACGACCATTAGTTTACGAACCAAAACGCTTGCAGGGTCAGAAACACACCATTCCTTCCAAAATGTTACAACCATTTCCAAAGTTGTTGGCCCTGCAACCACACCAAAAGTGGTCACAAAATCTTCAGAAAACGAGCACAACGAACATTTTGACTCAAACATAACAGACAAGCCCAAATCATCAAGGGCACCATCCAAACCATTGATGTCTTCAGGGTGGCTGTTGACTATCATAGTCATTGCAGTGGTTGTTGTTGTTTGTGGTGTGGTCCTAGCCGTGTATTGGGTCATGGCGGCAAAGAAAGCTGTAAACAAAGCCTCTGGTAAACAAGTAAACAACGTCCCCACTCCCAATCCCATAGACAACACCAGTCAGAATACACACGAAGATCCAAACCCAGAGGCTGAATCTTGCACGTATGAAACCATACCAGACGTGATTGAGGCTTATGCCAAGTCTGGGTACGTTTTTGATGTGCCTCAGTATGACATTGCGGAGTTTGAAATGCGTGAAAGAGCAGAGAGCTATAAGAAAATGGCCGGTGCCAAGTCTGTACTACCAGGTCTGGACGCACAGGACCGTGCTTACGATGGGGGTGATACGATAGAACCGTACGCTGTATGTAATGAGTCTTCAGACGAAGATGACTAGGCATAGGAAAATTCTGTTTCCTACCTGCCCTAAAGACCCTGGCCTTTTTTTGGGGGGGGGGGGTGGTATTCAGAACCAAGCTCAGGCACGGTTTTGGATAGTTCACGCGTTTGCCTGGAGCAATGCTACGTTCTTGGTTTCGCGCAGACTATCTCTTTTTCACGCATTTTCAGCAGCTAATTTACTACTATAACTACTACTACTGCTACAGACTATTATTACTACTACTACTACTATTTCTATTGCTACTACTACTACTACTACTATTACTACTACTACTACTGCTACTATTTCTGCTACTACTACTACTTCTATCACTACTACTAATTACTACTATTTCTACGCATTTTTGATTCGTAGCTCACATTAGACCATTAGGCTGATAAACGTATTATCTTTGATGATACTTGACTAAGATTAAATGTATCTTCGTGTATATAGATGATGAGCAATTTTTTTCTTCATAGTATACCTTTAATACACGTTTCTTTACTACACGAACTAAAAGACAGTGAATTTAACATTACGAATGAATAAACATAGTCATCAACCCTGTTGATTATATGTAAAGGTAGACTACAACAACTTATGAATACCAAAATTTTAATAGAAAATATCATGTTTATTTATTTGTTATTTGTTACTATCATGTAGAGAAAGCATGTATACGTGTACAAATTGTGCCTTGATAATTAGCAGCTTTGTAATGCCTCCCTGGTATATCATAAATATGCGTGTTGTAGTTTGAGAAAATACTTGCTTCACAGTCACACACCTGTATATAGCTGTACGTGACAACATGTATATATTACGTGATAACACTCTATGTTTTGAACCGCATTTGTAATATTGCAGCAGCGACACCTAGATGCAGTATAAATCAGAACCAGTCCTTGTTGACCTTGAAGAAGGTGACAGACGGTCATTGAAACGTCGGATGTTGAATAAAGAGGCTTCTTATACTGTATCTTGCCTATGTGAAGAATATTATTCTGCGGTATTATAGCTGATATATTAGTTTCTGCCCTGATAATCATAACTGTTATTAACAACTCATAACGTCGATGTTGTTGCTAGCTAGCAGGCGTATTTACCTGCGTAAACGGAGGTATTGTTTTCAAGACGAGACAATACAATGCAATGCAATACAATGCAATGTAATACAATACAATGAAATACAATACAATGCAATGCAATACAGTGTAATACAATACATTACATTACAACACAAAGACATACAATAGATTTCAGCACAATACAATGCAATGCAGTGTAATGCAATGAAATTCAATGCAATACAATGCAATGCAATGAAATGTTCTGCAATGCACTATAATGCAATGCAATTCAGTGCAATGCAATACAAGACAGACAATACAATACAATACAATACGATACATATACAATACAAGGCAATGCAATACAATACAAGACATACAATACATATACAACACAATACAATGCAACACAACACAATACAATACGATACATATAATAAAATATATACAATACAAAACAATACAACACAATACAGTAAAGTACAATACAATATGATGCAATTTGAAGTATAAATTATGAAGTATAAACGAGACTTAACAATACAATTCAATGCAATACAGTACAATTCAATGCGATGTAACACAATGCAATAAAATGAAATAAAATGTAATGCAATACAATGCCTTGCAATGCAATGCAATGCAATACAATACAACACAATGCAATAAAATGTAATGGCATACAATGCAATACAAGACATACGATACAATACATGCAATCCAAAAACAATGCTAATTTTTTGTTTAAGTACAAACGAGTCTAAACCAGCGTGCCCTTTCCTTCACGCACGTGTCCGAAGCATGACTTGTCCACTGGAATTGGGTGATGGGCTTTTGGTTTACGTAAAAAACTAATCAATAAAGCGTAGATTGGTCTGTTCTCTGTAAATTACATCTACGGAAGTAGGCCAACCACGTGGTATCGTGACGTCACACTGGGCAAACGAGCCTTGCATTTTTCCTCACTCCACACAATCCGCAGGTGCAAGAAGAGGCAGTCCTCTACTTTTCCTAAGGTAAGGTAATTTTGTGGGAAAGTGGTCTTGTGCTTGGCATCTAAATGTTCTGGGTTCCAATCCGTTGCAGGCCACAATGTTGTATCATTATGAAGTCACTTTTTTAACACCTATTTCTTTACTCAATTTCGAGTAAAGACTATATCTTTCTCAAGGTAAGGCAATTTTGTGGCAAAGTTGGCTTGTGCGTGGAACCTAAAGGTTGTGGGTTCGAATCCTTGCAGGTTGTGTCATTAGGAAAGGCATTTATAACCTAGTTCTTCACTCGACTGAGGAGAAATTGAGCTGTGGTCCTCTAGCAAAGTTCTTTGATCACAATCAGTTATTTTTTTTTACGAGCCGACGTTTCGATGACCGTCTGTCATCTTCATCAGGGCAATTCTGACTGGTTTGCTGTGCACTGACGCTAGATGTTAGTTGGAACTTTGCTATTCATTCGTTTACCAACCTGATGAAATTATTTACGGGTTTATCGAACATGGTTTGAAAAAAGGTGGTATTTTGACTTGAAACTGTTCCAAAGAAAATACCCCACATGGTTCAGAAGCAATGGATGTTTTGCTCTGCAGAGATTTCAAGGAGGTCATTTAATGATTCATGTCTGAGTGTAGACAATAATGTTGCAACCGGAGAAGCCTCAAGGTAAATTTGGGTCAACCTTGGCTATAGGTTATCCTGCACCCGAGGCTATACTGTATACAGGAAGGATCTGAAAACAAACAAGACTGTAAAATTTACATGCCTGTAGCCAGGATTTTTTTCGGGGGGGGGGCTCTTCCTACTGTCCAAGGGACCAGCGAGAGGCGAGGGCACGAGGTTTCTAGGGGGTCCGGGGGCATGCTCCTCGGAAAATTTTGAAAATTGGACCTTGACTTATCGATCATTTTTCTGAAAGACGAAGGATCCCGAATCTTCTGAAATGTGTTAATGTTTTTTTTTGTCAGTGAAAATGTTGAAGATAACTCTAGTTTGAAATTCCCCTTTAGCTGAAAGAATAGAAAGTATGAGATAAATTTTGTTTCGTATTCTTCCGTATTTGACGCACAAAGCATACTACTATTTATTGATGAAATACTTGTTCATCACCCTTTGCAATGACACCATGTTTGTACATTCAAAGGCTGGACACCTGAACTGACTATAAGTGAGTGAGTCACAAAACAAGAGTACCGAGAAACCTGGCACAACCAGTCAAGACCAGTTGTAACCGGTCTTCACACATCGGTCTGTGGTCAAGAACAGAGACAGCGGCCTGTCAAGCAAGCCTTTTCATTGGTCAAGTCTTCAAACTTGTAATTTAGATAGACTGAAAACTATATATACATTCTACAATACTATATAGTTGCGAATTAACAAGGATACAATATACAATACTGAATACATATATGATATCTGAGTACAAGAATATACGAATGCAATAATACTGACCTATTTTGTTGCATATACGCAATCAACTATTAGTGTGTAGTTGCGGTTAAGAAGAATGACGTAATGTGACATTCCAGGTGACGCAGTACAACGCGTCTTGTGACGTAATACAACACTTCTTGTGACGTAGTACAACGCTTCGTGTGACGTAGAACGAGGGTGTTTTCACAGGTTAACTCAATATTGTTACTCCAAATACACATATATTACTAACGTTGTTTTCTACACATTTGCATGTCAAAATGCGATACTCACGCAAATGTGACAGAAAGTTAAAGTTTTCTTGCAAACTTTTCGTTCTGACTTTGACCTTCGTCGTTGTGAACTTAGTTCACACATGTCAATCAAAACGACTTGCAGACCTGATTAATTTAGGGTGTACCGTCAGAGACTTTTACATTCCCAATCTACTTAAAATTCACTGCGACAACACTGGGTTGTACAGTATCACTAAACTGTCACTATCGCTGTTTGAGCTTTGGCTTCCGAATAACCACTTGACGACTTTCCCGTGCATGCAGCTGCCACATCTGAGCAAGCTAGTCCTAACAAACAACAGCATAACTCACTTCCCATGGAACTGCTTGAAAGACATGCATCGGTTAAATGTTTTAGATCTTTCACGCAATCGAATTTTCTGCATCAACTTATTGCCTGTGAGAAGTTTCCAAAACATTCTAACAAAAGTGGATATTTCCCATAATAATATAAGGACGTTGTCTTTGTGTGATCTTGGGATTGATGTGAAAAACAATACGTTTCCATCGTTTGAGATTACTTTGGGAGGAAACCCTTTCCATTGTGACTGTGACATAGCCTGGCTCATCGACTTAACAAAGACAACCAAGAGATGCCAGGAGGAAGTGTCGATCTTTTGCCTGGACTTCCTTGAGAAAGAAACGTTGTCATCAGGGATGTACAACCAGCAGTCCCTTTTTCGTTGTCAAACGCCTTCTTCTGCAATGGGCATAGAGCTCTATAAGTTGGACATTTCAAAATGTATCTTCTGGAAAACGATAGCACGAAATGATAGCCTAAAGCATCTGCAAAAACCCTGTTCTCTTGACAAGCATTGTTCTGCAAATAGCGACAACCCTACAACCATTGAATCTATCACATTGCCAGCAACAACAACAACTGTCGGTTCCAAAATATTACAGACAGTTGAAAATACGGAACTACAACAGAATGAGCTGCACAATATATCTCAAGAGATAGGAGATATATCTAACTATACCAAGGCTAGCTTCATGGCTACATGGACTGATACAATCTCTTTCAGTCAATTGGGGAATTCAACGCCAGTGTCTACGCAAAAATCAGAAGCGTATAGCATTAGTGTAACAAAAATGGCAGAAACCAAACCATCTCGAAAAGCCACAGAAGAGACAACAGGGTGGTTGTTGACTACCATAGTTGTTGTTGTAGTTGTTGCTTTCTGTGGTGCATTGTTTGGTGTATATCGGGCAATAATGAAGAAACAAGCTAGCGAAAATGCACACATAAACAACATGGCGGCTGGTATAGCTTTAAGAAGCATCCGTAAAGGTGACAACTGTCAGATTGACAAAGTTGATGATGAGGAAAATGTGTATGACACGATACCAGACTCCGCCGAGCCGTATGCGAAGTCGTATACGTTCGATGTACCCCAGTATCATATTAGGGATAGCTCGGTTACCAGAGGTCAGGCCACTGATAGAGTCACTGACAATGCAGGCTGTAACAATGGTGTAAAAACCGGTTCGGATGTCAAGATGTATGAAACTATACCTGACAAGGCTGAGGCTTACTCACAGTCCTATGTTTTTGATGTACCCCAATATCACCTTGGTGATGTGCCACTGTAAACATATAAGCAGAATAATGACATTCAGTTTCATAAAACTTTGGATACTTATAGCCAAATGTCACTTAAAACTCCAGGAGATATTTAGAAATTTTAGTGAATTTCTTGTGGTTTATACATCATTATGAAGTTTTCGCTGATTCAATGTGTTTTGCCACTGGTAGCATACATGCAGGCTAAAGCCAGGAAGTTGACGATACATGTAGGAAATGAGACTACCTTTTTGGGACCTTTGACCTAACATCCTGTCAGTGTCCCCGTCGTGCCTAGCATGTAGAAATAAGTACGGAAACACAAGCAAACACACACACAAACACACCAATAAAATCTCCGTACACGTGCAAGATTTTAACATAAATAACGTTAACGTGTGTGGCGTCGGGTGGTATAGTGGTTAGAGCAATAGACTGTGAACCGGGAGACACGGGTTCGATTCCGAGTCGTATCCGGTACATGTCTGGACATGCGCCCCGACGTTGTGCCCTTGGGAAAGGCACTTTACACGAATTTCCTCACTCCACCCAGGTGTGAATGGGTACCTAACTTCGGTTGGGGAAAGTCGTATTGAGGTCACCTTGTGGCGCTGAATGGCAGCCGCACAGACCCTTGTGACAGTTCCACAAAATAATTGTGGAACAAATATGTGTATCATTTGTATTATTAGAATGTTGTAATTGTTGTGATTTGTATTGATTATTATGTGATACCCTGCATCAATTTAGCCGTATAAAGGCTGCGACTGCACGGGTACTGTTTGGACAATAAAAACCATTTATTATTATTATTATTTTAACCTGAAATATTCTGTTACACGTAATTAGTTGGCACATGTATCAGAGACGCAACTGATTTAAGTTGATATTAGCAGTTTAGAATATAGTCGTACTCTTACCTATGGTATTTGGATAATCAATGCTGTATGAGCCAAAATAGTATACGTTCTGATGAAGTACAAAATATGGCAACTACTAGCATATACGTAACTACAGTCCGATAAGGCTAATCTACCTAATACAAGAGTGTAGTATGGAATGTGTGTAGTGTAGTGTAGTATTGTATAATTTAAAGATTGTAAATGTATTTGTTGCAACTTGGTGTTTAAAGCAAGCTAAGGCTTATTTGTTCAATCACTACGATAACTATTGCTTTATCTGTATCTATTATGCGGTAAGTTAGACGTAGATTTCTTTTAAATTTGTTTCTGGTGCAAAAATGTCACATAATGCCCCCTTTTTTTGTCTTGAAATTTTACTCGTCAAAAGTATCGTAGTTGTTGTGATACTAGTAGTAACTGTGTTAATGTGTATCCAGGATTACCTTAAAAGCAGGCCAAAATGGCCTGAGTTGTAATTACTGGTTAAATAAATAAATTGAAATTGAATTGTGAAGTATGTAAACAATTAATGTAATGACTAATAATAACCAGCAAGAAATGTAAAGAAGTGTTGTAGGTGGAATAAAAAAAAAATGAATTGGATTTTCAAGCAGAGTGAAGCTTTTCATTCAGTGTGTGTGTGTGTATGTGTGTGTGTGTGTGCGTGTGTGCGTGTGTGTGTGTGTGTGTGTGTTGGGGGAGTATCTAAATTTTTTGGGGGGCACATTCATTTTCGTCCTAGACCTTTTGATATCTCGCCAACAAAACAACATCTGGATGACCTAGAAATGTTAATGTAATTTTTTGGTTCTCAATTTTTTTCCCGGTTGATTCAATCTTTTGTGGTGTAGATTTGTCTGACAGAAAAACAAATTAATCAAAAACAGGTCGGGAAACTATTTGGTAGAAAATGAAGTCTGCAAAACAAAATGGTGGAGAGGAAGGTACTACGTCATATCCCAAATGTACCCGACAAAATGTCATTGAGTTTTTCTTCCACATGAATTCTTTGATAGGCCACAGCAAGAAAATGTTATGGATGACATCCTTTGTAGTCTCCAAATCTAATGCGATAGGGCGGAAAAAAACAAGGCAGACAAAAACAAGATTCCTACAAATTCAAATTCTGAGATCATAAACCTTGTTAAACAAGAATGAGAACAAGACATCACAACCAATACTAATAGGTCATAAGCTTACAAGTTTTGTATTCAACATCTTATCCAGAAGCCAAAACTAATCAGCATTTGAACTCTAGTGTACATGACCTGTTTAATAAACCAATATTTAACCAACTTAACGTGTCCATACTAATGTATTCAACATGTATTTTAATGACCTATATTGTGCCAAGTTAGCTGACAACTATTGCAACATCTCTTTGTCACTGAAACAACTTTGACAAAAAAAGTTGTCAAATTGTAGAAATGGTTTTGATTCAGTGGCAACAACACATAGACATGACATACAACACTGTATCAAAGTAAAAGAAAACTTTGTCCATTTCTGGCATGTTGGCCACTGGTGGAGGGCAACAAATAAGTTCTCATGTGTTTACACAGGTTATACTTTCCTGAACTAGCTCCCCTGGGTCTGTTACCACACTGTCCACACACATAAGGTATACCACCAGTGTGTCTTGTTAAGGCGCGGTCACATTTCCCAACCCGGGGCCCGGCCGGGCAGTCGTTTTGAACGAAAATCATGATATAAGACAGCAAAACACAATAAAAGTTTTAGAAAATTAACCATGGGCACTATTTGTGTAAGCTCTTAACACAAATTGTTTATTTTTCGTTTGCGCAAACAACCCGGCCGGGCCCCGGCTTGGAAATGTGACCGTGCCCTTAGATGGCGGTACAGACTGGATTTGTCTGCAGCAGAATAGTCACACAGCTCACACTTGTAGGGTTTTTCCCCTGTATGAGTTCTCATGTGCCTAGATAGATCTGCCATTCTAGTTGTCCTGTACCCACATTCCCCACACATGTAAGGTTTATCACCAGTGTGGTTTGCTAGATGCTTGTCCAAACTGGATTTGTGTCAGGTAGAATAGCCGCACTGGTCACACTTGTACGGTTTATCTTCTGTATGTGTTTTCATGTGTCTAGATAAATCAGTCTTTCTCGCTGCCCTGTATCCACATACAGAACACATGTGAAGTTAATCACTAATGTTGTTTGATAGACATTTGTCCACATTGGATTCGTTTGCAACAGAAGAGTCACCCTGATCATTCATGTTTGGTTTCTCCCCTATATGAGTTCCCATGTGTCTAGATAGGTCTGCCATTCTAATTGTCCTATACCCACATATGCATTCCCCTCACATATAAGGTTTTTCAACACTGTGGTTTGCTAGATGTTTGGTCAAATTTGATTTGTCTGCAGCAGAATAGTTACACAGATCACACTTGTAGGGTTTTTCTCCTGTATGGGTTCTCATGTGTCTAGATAAGCTAAACTTGCTAGTTGTCCTGTACCCACATTCCCCACACATGTAAGGTTTTTCACCAGTGTGCCTTGCTAGATGTCTGATCAAATTTGATTTGTCTGCAGCAGAATAGTTACACAGATCACACTTGTAGGGTTTTTCCCCTGTATGAGTTCTCATGTGTCTAGATAGATCTGGCATTCTAGTTGTCCTGTACCCACATTCCCCACACATGTAAGGTTTATCACCAGTCTGGTTTGCTAGATGCTTGTCCAAACTAGATTTGTATCTGGTAGAATAGTCACACTGGTCACACTTGTAGGGCTTCTCCCCTGTGTGAATTTTCTTGTGTAGGTGTAGGCCGTGCTTATAGCGTGTCCTGTGCCCGCACTCTTCACATATGTAGGGCTTCTCAGCACAAAGTTCAGGCTTTTGACTTTCTACCTGTTCTGCATGTGATACTGATGATGTATTGTCAGTCTTTCCAACGTCCCCATCACATGTGTCCTCACAAGTCCCTTGTCCCTCCCTGTGCTGCTGCCTGTCCGTGTCTGTTGTCTTGTCCTCCATGCTGTTTTCTTGTTCTCACAATGTTCGGAGACCAGTTTGTACTTTTTTTGTGTGTCTTGTGGAAAAGAAATAACAACGATAAATGTTTGACATAAACAACGTCACCGACAACACTTTATGTTCAACCATTCTCAGGGGTAACCCCTCATTGTCGTTTGTCAACAACTGTAAAATATTTGCAGATAGGACGTTTTGTTTGATTTAGTTGATTGATTTTGATTTGTACACCAGCTCATTATGTACCTTTGTCCTTTTTATTATTATTATTACTTTGTTTTATTGTTTCCTTTTATGTATGAGGAGAGGGCTGACATAAAGTTTCATAACTTTTTGCCCAATCCTCCAAAAATATATGTGAATAAAATAAATAACGATAAATGTTTGACAGGGTGGTCCACAATCTTGTCTTGTCATATAAACCATTCAAATCCAACAAGGAGTGTTACAGATACCCATACTTCCCAAGAACAGTTTTGGATTGCAACTCACTGCCATATTCAACTACCCAGATACAAGAACCAAACAAAGAGGTCTCCCAACACCTGTCCTAAGGAATTTATAGATCACCAACTTGTCTTGTTCACTAGTACAGACACTAGTGCACTCATCTCTCTTTTATCCATTTTGTAATTATGTTTTGTTATTGTGTTTTACTCGTTTGATAGTCATGTTCTTGAGTAGAAGGCCTTACATATTAATTGAGCTTTTTGCCTGATTCTCGTTAAAGATATGTGATTCAATTAAAATTAAAAACACCTGAAGAACCAGTATTAGTGACTCCCTATAACTATAGCCATTCTGTTGGCTTGCGTCTAAAGCACCCTCATACCAAATTGCAGGTCATTAGGAGCCAATGAATAATGTACAATAACCATCCAACCATAACCATATCACAAAATATTTCTTTGGGTCAAACTATCATGACATTTTCTCTTAGCCTGGTTACTAGACCTACTTTTTAGTTCCCGTCCTATCCTCTCTGCAAGGAAGGGCTTGGGAGATAAATATCATGTCTGGTAACCAGGCTAATCATCTATTGGTTTTTGGAAAAATTACAGTATATATGAGTGCATATACTATAGGTAATACGATGACATATTTCAAGCGTTGCCCCCCTCCCCATC